GAGAGAGAGAGAGAGAGAGAGAGAGAGAGAGAGAGAGTGTCAGTCTTTGGTTGCCAAGAATTTCAAGAAAGGAAACCGGAAGCTCCTGCGCCGTTGGCGTCCCGTCGCCAAGGAGACGGGCCATTCCATTTCTTTGCAAGGGTTAGTGTAAATAGTCTTCCCCCTTCCAGTCTGCAGCAAGGTGCCTAAATCACTTCGAAGAACGTGGCAGCATTTACGCGCTCGGCCGGGGCTCCACAGGTGGGCGCGCTCCACTTCCGAACTTGCCTGGCCGCGGGGTGCACCCCCTGTCCGTGTGGTGCAGGCCGGAGCGGCTCGCGTGGGGCGAGGGTTCCCATGTAGGGCAGAACTCTGTGGGCTTGCATCTCGGAGATTGGGGTCTGATCTCGGAGGTCCCCAGGATGCCAGATCAGGCTAAGTCCCGGCAAGACTTCACGCGATGGAAAAAGAAGAAACAACCCGTGCGCCGCACGGTCAGCCAGATCTGCCCGCCGCCCCGACGGCCGCTGACCGTGGCAGACATCCGTCCGGGCATGGAGAACGAGAGGCTGGGGGTCGTGCGTGACTCCATGTTTCAGAACCCGCTCATCGTCAAGGTGAGCGCTCGGGCGCGCTCGTCCCCTCCCCGGGCACATATGCTGCCGATGGGTTCCAGCTGCCGAGCCCTCTGGCCTCAGGGTCCGGGGTCCAGGCGCAGTGTCGGAAACGAGCTCTAGGCGGGACAGTTCTGGACGGACAGTCGGCAGTCGCGGCCGGTCCCCGAGCCTCAGTGCCCTTAAGTGGCACACATTAGCGGAAGACTATGAATAGGGCAATCCCTGCGGGGCTCGATAAACCCACAGGGTGAGACAGGTCGCAGGCACCCTTTCATGAGCTTGCCACCCGAAGATCCACTTTCCCCAACACCTTTGGTCTACTGCGCAGCAGGCGCTCCGGGGCTCTCGTGGAAACCTTAAGTGTGTGTGGGGAGGTGCAAATACTCTCTTTGAGGCCTGGCCAGCACTCGCGTGCGAGCAGCGTTATGGCTGAATCACCTTCCCTTTCAGTGCCGGACCTCTGTGCTTTACTCTGTTTTCCCGCCTGGTTGAAAACTCCACGTGGGCGTGGCTCTGCTCCTGAGTGCGGGGGGTGGGGGGGAAATCAAGTTAAAGTTTAGCTTTTATCTAGGTAGTCCTGGAGCAAGTTTACCTTTGGCCACTAGAGGGCAGTGTGCTTCTAATAATGTACTCAGTTTCCCAGGTTCCGGGTGCGGAGGGTGATGGGCGCGCTGATGGTAACCATGGATTCAGTAATCATGATTTCTCTGACTCCGGGCACTGATTAGAACCCAGAGTGGTGCGATCTCTCTCTCTCTTTCCCTTCCTTTTTTCCTCTTTCTCATTTTTCTTTTTCTTCCCTCCCCTCCTCTTTCCCCTTTCTAACTTTTCTTTCCCTCCCTTCCCCAACTCCTTTCTTTCGTTCCTTCTTTTGTGAAGGGAACCTGGTTTTTCTTAGCTGTGCTATAACTAGCTGCATTCTTTGACTCCTGGGAAATCAGTGACGCTCCTGGACCTTTTTGGGCTAGTTAATGTTCGCAGCAGGAAGGAACTAGGTGCAGTTATAGGGTGCAGTAGCATCCTTTGCACCAGACTTCTGAGATGGCTCCCCAGTGCGACAGAGCTTTGCTTACTTCTTGGAGAGCTGACCTCAGCAAGCACGTGGGACAGACGGTTGGGATTTACTGTAGTGGGCCAATGTTCACTCCAAGTGATACATGTATATCTGCATACACACGCATTATACATGTATATATGTATAGCAAAAGCACGTGTTCTATATAGCGCACTGTATGTTTAGCATTTGTATATAGCAATGCATGTAAATTCGGTATGTGAAACACCCCTCTCTTCCCCCTGGTTATGTCAAGGACAGCATTTGAGCTGTAAGGTGGCACCAGCTCAACAGCCTTCCGGATAAATTCCATCCTTGTTTCTGGAGCTGGAGTTGAGGAATGATCTTTTTTTTTTTTTTTTTTTTTTTTTTTTACAAAGTATTGGTGGTGATTGATCCACCAATGGGGTTCTGTTTTCAGGCTGTCCTAGTCCATGATGATCACCAGTGCAGGGTCCTGGCACTCTTTGGTGACAGCAGGGGGCAGTGTTTCCCTCCAACTCTGTCCTTGGTTTTTGAAGCACCGGTTGCGGTTAGGATGCTGATGTCCGCATTCAATATTTACCCCTTTCTGTAAGATCTTCCGTCAAAACCCAGCCTGCTTTAAGGTTGGCAGAGAGGGAATGTGGAAAGGAAGCTGTGCCTCTCCTTGTTGCCAGAGCTCCCTGTAAGCCAGTGCACAGAGAAATCTCTGCCAGGCTTTTGACTCCAGGTTCTACCAGAGCTGGCTTAAAAGCCACGCCACTGCATCCCAGCCAGCTTTCTCTATGTAAAGAAAATTTGAATTCTGAAACATTGGGAGTTTGGGCTTTAAAGAAAAGGGAAATAATAAAAGTAGTTAGGGTTCCAGAACATTAAAAAAAAAAAAAAACAGTTCTATCCGTTCTCCTGTGCTCGACTTGTAGGCTCCTTTACGGGGGTTGCTCATTTTGTTGGCCCCAGTGTGGGGGTGAATCCCTCCTCCTCCTCGTGTGAGTATGCTTGGGTCTGGTGTCTTTGAGGATGATGGGAACTGAGTTGTATTTTCCGTTGTCTCTTCCCGAGTCTGAAGGAGTGTGCATCTCTATCAGATGACACGGCACCCTGGAAATATTTATTTCCCCGCATGAAGAGTCCGTCACTCACATTGTTTCCCCTCATGGCAAGGTTCAGCAGTTTTTGTTTGTTCCTTTTCTTTTCTTTTTCTTTTTCTCCAAGTTCAAATGCAGCCAAACAAATACAGCCCTGGTATTTCCCACCCATGGAATTTACCAGAACGTATCTGCACCAGTTATTCAAAAACATGTCTTCAAGAGGGCGCAGCAACCAGAGGGAAAGGGAAAGCTTCAGATTTGCAAGCAGGTGTTTTTTATCTATAGACACTCGCCAACCTATCACCTCGCAGAAACCCAAGCAAACGGCTTGTTTAATGGTGGTTAATTGCGGCGCGATGGTGTTTCATGCAACCACAAAAGTAATGTAAATACTCTCCATTGGCAAGGGCTTCTCTATTGTCAAGTGATGTGCAGCCAACCAGCTTCCCCTTCAGGGGGACTCTGTGGGAAGTATAAAATTAAATTGAGAAAGAACCTAGCTTCATCCTGCTTGATTCTCATTTCCCTAGAATCCGGAGATGCAACACAGAATCCTGCCACAGTAGCCTCCCAGGCTCCCTCACAAAACCTGTCAGGGTTTACCCTTCCCACTGCGGCAACTTGGCTGATACCCTGTCAATACAATTACAGGGAGAGGCTGCGCGGCTTGCTCCGCTGACAGCTCTGAGTCTGCTGTCGCCCTGGAGAGGCAGGTTGCTGCACGGGAGTGGGACTGATTGAACCCAGCACCCTCAGAAAGTACAAATGATCAGGGCACCTGATTTTTTTCATAATTTATTAGTGACTTTGTTTTTCTCTTTCCTGTGTGGGTTTATGTCACAAATAAGAAGAGCACACATTTGTAAAATAAAGTAATAGACTCAAGCATTTGAGGCTAGAAGGAAGTTTGCCCGCATCAAATGTATCTCCTTTCGGGAGGTTTAGGGGCCTCTGCCCAGGGGAAGACTCTCACCCTGGGGCGCTGCTGTGACCTGGTATCAGAAGTGGGAAGAGGCCCCGGTCTCCTGAATTACCTAACCTCATGCTGTTTTGGCTGCAAGCCATGACTAATTAATCAAGGGTAACCCAGGTGTGGTACATCCTGTAGAACCGGCTGTCAAAAGTGCTCGCAAGTGAGTCTGACCCAGCGTCATCCACTCAGTGTCCCCGCAGAAGTCAGCAGTATGGATTCCTCAGGGTTTTTAATGTTTAGTAGGTGCGGGGGGGGGGGGTCATCCTAAGCTGGGATGGGGTATAGAAATAAGTTCCGAACTTAGCCTCTGCCCCCAGGGATTTGACCATTTAGGGTTTACCTGGAGAAATAAGATACACAGAGATACAGGCACACACAGACTCATATGTCCAGGCATGTAGACACACAGAGATTTACCATTGGATATACACACACAGACACAGAAGCACAGGTACACATACGAAAGAAGTCAAACAACGTCACAGGTCACCTCCTCTGAGTTTTCCAGTGAAGCACAAGCCCAGGGCATTCAGTTTTAGGGAGAGGCTATCGTAAGAAGGTCCATGCCAGGGGTCAGGAGACTGGCAAAGCCAGCCCTCTGTGCAGAGTGATTCCGCTCTTCCTTCCACTCCAAGCATTAGGGGCTGTTCGCGCCAACTCAAGTTCCAGTTCATAAGACACAGTGCTGCGTTGAGTTGTTATCGTTACCAGCACAAGGACGTGTTTATCCGGAGTGAGTGTGTTCAAATTGGATGCTCTACAAAGCCAGGCGAGCACACCATGCCCACTAATAGCCTAATGGCTCGAATAAATATTACTGCTGGTGGTGAGCGTAAACATGGAGACAGCGATGGGCATTAGGAAGGCAGGCTGTCCAAAGCCCGCCTGCACAAAGATACCAGTGTTTTCATTACGGGGTGGGAAAATACTGCGTGTGGTCTGTCTGTGATCGCTCAGCTCCCTTACATTCAATTACAGTGTAATGGGAGGAAATGAAATGTTAGTGAGGAATTAAAAACCATCCTGTGGTTCAGTCTGGGCCGGATGCACTGCTGTGGGTTTATCCATCCTTGTTTTCTCCGTTCCTTCCTCGTCCTCTCCCTCCTCCCTTCCTCCTCCCTCCCACCTCCTCTTCCCTCCTCCCCTCTTTTCCTCTTTCTCCCCCTCCCCTCCTCTTTCCCTCCTCCCCCTCTTTCTCCTCCTCCCTCTCACTTCTCCCTCTCCCTCTTCCTTCTTGTGAGTGTGTGCATGTTTGTGTGTGCGTGTGTTTGTGCACACCTGTGTGCATGTTTGTGTGTGTGTGTGTGTGTATGTGTGCAGAGGTCAGAGGTCAACCTCAGGTGTTGTTTTTCAGAAGCCATCCACCTTGGTTTTGAGACAGGATCTCACTAACCTGGAACTCAACAAGTAGGTTAATCTGGCCGGCCAGGAGCCCCAGGGGTCCACCCATCTTCATCTCCCAAAAGCTGGGCTGGGATTACAAGTGAGAGCCACCTTGCCAAGTTTCTCTTCCTTCCTTCCTTCCTTCCTTCCTTCCTTCCTTCCTTCCTTCCTTCCTTCCTTCTTTCCTAATGGCTGTCCTCTTTTCTTCATTTAAATCAAAGCCTCCCTCTGGCTGATACCCAGCTTCATCCTTCAGGGGGCAGCAGATGAAGCAGTGAAAAACCCCACTGCCCAAGTCTGTGACCATTCCAGAGAGAAGACCTGCCCTCTCTCCTGGCTCCTCACTGCAGTCCCCAGGGCAGCTGCCTCTTCCACTGGCTCCTCACTGCAGTCCCCAGGGCAGCTGCCTCTTCCACTGGCTCCTCACTGCAGCCCCCAGGGCAGCTGTCTCCTCCACTGTCTCCTCACTTCAGCCCCCAGGGCAGCTGCCTCCTCCACTGCCTCCTCACTACAGCCC